GGTACATTGTAGCCTTAATTTGGATCTGCTGAACATGGACCTAGTTGTGGCCTCCAGTTTGAATCTCTGTTATTGGCTGAAGTATATGCATCCCCAAGATGCACCATGGTGCTGCAATCTCTGAGACTGTCAGATTGTCCTCCACTATTGCAACTACTGATGTTGAAAGGTTTCTGGGCTGAGTTTGAATTTGGGCTTCTGTGCTTGCTATGCTCTATCCTGGCACTGTCCACTAACATCCATTTCTCTACAGGTTTATGTAGCTTGCACCACTGTGGACCCAGAGAATTCTGGAATGACAAGGGGACCTGTGTCACCAGTGGCAAGCGATGGCAAACCATAGCAACTCCTTCATCCATCCTGATAATGCTCATGCACAACTTAGCCCATTTCTCTCCATTTCCCTCATCATACATCTGTCAGTGCCTATTGCATGCAACATCGGTAGATCTGGACTAGGATCTAGTGTCTTGGTCAGTATTCATTCCCATATTTTGGTTGAGTGGGGTTGATTTCATTTTGGTCATGAATCATGATGCTCTTTTTGTGTAGGGAGTACTATCATACTGTGCCCTGGCAACAATGCTACCCTCTGTTGGAAATATCATAATAGTTCTGACCATCTAGACACATCTAGACTTACACATTTTGATACATGTGTAGTGTCACATGACATGCTCAGTCATACAGCTCCACAATGATGTCAGTATGACATCATTTACTATGTCATGTTCCATAGCATTCTCTGTTATTCCTTACCATACATAGTAGTACCTTCCTTTTATGCTACTGGTCCATGTGTAGGTCTACATGTATATAAACTCAGGGAGTACAGGCCATATCCCCATTGTTCTACCTACAGAACAATCTACTTTGTTATCAAGCCCCCACTCTAACTCTTACCCTCTTCAAACCTACTGTTTAACTCAAGCTTAAAGGCAAGTGTTCTGTCTTAGCTCTTCGTCACTACCCATTCCTCTGCACAATAGGTTATGTGCCCTGCCTTCTAGGCATGTGTGCTATTTACTTGATTTGCATAGAATAGATCACTGCCAATGGGGAAATCACTATGGATTGAGTAGGCCTAGATGTGCTAGGGTTGACAGTAGTCAACCACAACCTGTTCCTGGAGACTCCTGAAATGTTCAGAGAGCACATCCTGAACAAGCCAAAAATTGAGAACCTCATCCAAAATGTTGTTTTATCCCTGTTTCCCATCCTGGAAACATTTATGGAGATAGACCTCCTGTAGAAATTGAAAGGGATATTCAACAAAATCATGATCAAGCTCAACAATGGATCCAAAATGCAGAACATAACATAAGAGAGAGAGACAAGAGAATCTTCACAGATATGAAGAGGAAAGAAGACCACCTTCACCAGTCTTACTGCCTCAGTTGCAACCTCCTCAGGTTCCTAGGCAGTGGACTGAACATCCACAAAATACTACTCCTCTGTCTCCAATGTCTCCTCTTACTCTGCTTCCAGAATCTCCAACTGGAATGCCAGATCAACAAGTCCAAATCCATCCTTTCAAGTTTGCATTAGCTGCACAGATCAAAGAATCTCTGGAGCATTACAAAGATGTTCTAAAATTATCTCTGGATTTACAAAAGAAATGGTTCAATGTGATGAAGGATGAGTTAAAGTCTATAGAAGAAAGACAAGTCTGGACTTTGGTGGATCCCCCCAGAGATCAGAAACCTGTTAAGTGTCAATGGGTTGTTGCTATCAAAAGCAATGGTCATTATAAAGCTCATCTTGTGGCTAAAGGCTTTACACAAGAATTCAGAACCAACTTTGAAGATACCTTCTCTCCAGTGGCTCACTTTGAAACTGTGCAAATTTTACTTGCATTTGCTGCCCAAAGGAATTGGGAAATGGAAGCCCTGGATGTCAAAACTGCTTTCCTCTATGGAAATCTTGATGAAGAAATTTATATGGAGCAACCAGAAGGATTCAAAGTTCAGGGTCAAGAACACAAGGTATATTGGCTGCTTCAAGCCTTATATGGCTTAAAGCAAGCAGCACTTGCATGGAACAAAGCCCTACATGCTTCCTTACTTCACATGGGGTATATTCACTCAAAAGTGGATGCTGGCATCTATATCTATTCTTCCAAAGCTGGCATTGTCATCTTCCTTGTCTATGTTGATGATGGATTATTCCTTGGTTCAGACAAACATCTTCTCAAAGCCAAGAAAGAAGAATTCATGAAGAAATGGGAATCCTGTGACTTAGGAGAAGTAAAAGAATATCTCAGAATTCAAATTCACCAAGATCAACCAAAGAAAGAACTTTACCTCAATCAAATTCCCTACATCAAAATGGTTATCAAAAGATTTAACATGGAGACTGCTTGAGATGTTTGCACTCCACTACCTTCAGGGTACCAACCAGAAAAAGCCCCTACTTCCTATCAAGCAACTTCTCAACTCTGCTCTCAGTACCAGTCTATTATTGGGTTACTTCTCTATATGGCCCTTGGTACACATCTGGATATTGCTTATGTGGTTATTTGCATGAGTCAATACATGGTAAATCCCACTGAGGATCATTGCAACAAAGTGCTGCATATAGTTTTCTATATTGCATCTACTGCAAAACTTGTGCTTTACTATTCTGGACTTGAACTGTGGATTTTTGGATTTGCTGATTCTGATTGGGCATTGTGAGTCAAAGTGTGGTTCAGTGGTGAAAACCAACCAAAACCAACACAAAAGACAAAACGAGTGAGTGGTGGTGTGCCCATGTGGTACCTAGATGGTAGAACCTGTTCTTTTGGAGGGTTTTTTGCAAGCTATAACACTCAAAGACAAGTGCTGAGGGTTGGGGGTGCTCCTGACAAAGAAGGAGCAGGAATGCGAGAGAATGCAATAGGGTAGACTGCTGTCAGCCTACAGAAGGATGGATGATGACTTAATTCAATGCTCTGAGCTGAATTGAGCTCAGGGAGGACTTGGAGTGAGGTAGATTGATGATAGATGATAATAAGCAAAGTAGACAATAGTTAGACCCTTAATAAAGTCTCAACTATTGAAGCTGATGGAGGATTTACTGAGTGATGATAAAATGCAAGAAAGAGGGGCTCTGTGATGTCTTCTTCTCTTCTTTTTTTTTTTTGCTATCTAATTACAGTGATTTATATACAGTACAGGGGTGTTGCCTATGGAAAACAAGGCACAAACACTTGGTAAGTGATTGGTAACTGATGAGTAAGGAATGTAAGTGATGGGTAATCATCTTGGAATGCATTGGTAAGCATTGGTAAGGATAAGCAAGCCAAAAGGCAAAGAATCAGTAAGCAAAGTCAAAAGATTGGTAAGTATTGGCAATAGGTGAGTCAAAGACAGTCAGAATGTCAAAGTATGAGTCAAGTAATGTCAGGAATTGGGAAAGTGCACTGGAATCACATTAGGGGGAGGCTGTGCATGTCATGTCTCAAAGAGATTGCTTCTAGGCTGAGGTGGGATGACAGAGAGGCAGCACTGATCTGATGCTGATATAGTACATCCAAAAGTGGACAGGGTGAGTCAGATGTCAACAGGGGTCAAGCTTTGGGGGTCTGTAGGGTGACAGGAGCATAGGGGATTGCAACTTTCCCCCCCAAACCATCCTCTCAGGGAAGCAAATAAAAACTTCATGAATGAGGCTCTGTTGGAAGAGAGGATGAATGGGGAGTGTCTTCTGCTGTATCTTGCAACAAGGAGGCAAGATGTGAATCATACTCATCAAGGATGTGATCAGGGAGAGTGGGGAACAGTAGATTATATTGCAGCTGTCACAATCTTGGAAGAATGATGGATGAGACTGGTATGAAGACACTGCAGGGAGCAGGGAGGAAGGATCCATATGCTTCTTGGACTGGAGAGACTGAAACAACCACATAAGACCTTTCCAAGCAAATGACAGACCTGAGGCAACCAAAGAATGTCCTCCTAGAGGTCATACTGACAAAAAGAACACACTGTCCAAGCTGGATGGGCTGAGAGGGCACAGATGAGGGTGGGATGTACCAGGATGCCTCAGGATGGAAGCTGGTAGGAACTCCTGGTAGATATATGTAGCCATGGTCCCTAGCAAAGGGGACAAGCAAAATGATTGATGTAGAGGCAGCCATATCAGATGAATTTAGTGAAATGAGCATCTTTTGGAGGGAGTGCTGTAGAAACATGTGGAGTGCACAAATCCTTTCCAATTTTGGAAGGTAAGATTGTGTGGCTGAGCACTACAAGCAAGTGTGGGAATGGTCTTGGTATCTGCAGAAATGGCAGAGATATGTCAAAAACTGGAATGCCATACATGGGCACTTAAGAATTTTAGCCAGTGCTTAACTTGCTCCCTTTCTTTTTCTTTGGCACTGATGACTTGTTCTTGTGCAAGGAATGACTGCCAACATTTCTGGCTGTCCTTCACATGAGGGCTATGGTCTTCATCTCCATTCATCAGCTGTATCCATGTCCACCTCACCAAACACCTTTGGTGTGTGACAACACACACAACAGCAGCCAACCTCACACCTTATATGGGTGCACCAGAGAATCTCAATGGAGTAACTACCTGTTACCTTGCCTTGCTCCCACCTCACTGTTTTCATTTAATTCAGGAACCTGGGCCAAAGAACATGTAGCACAATACCTAACCTAATTGGTTATTTCATGAAATCCCTTCATGAAACACCTTCATGAACATTTGAACATTGGCTGGGATCCCTCCATCTGCAACCACTAGCACATGATCAGCAATCTCACTTCTTGGGACTGGCTATGCCACCTTGCAGTTACCCATTTTAACTTGATGTTAGCATTCTTTGTGTATCAGTGGCTGCTTGCAGGCCAGTTGTTGAGATCAGTAGATGAGGTGAGTAGCCATTCAAAGTGCAATTTTTTTAATTACAGGAACTTCAGGCTCTATAGTACACTCAAGGCATTTAGCAGCAGTGGCCAATTGTCTCAGGCAACAATCTGAGTCCGACATCTCCATGTCTGTCTATATGTATACTAGGGTTGGATGGAATGGTAACCCACTCCAAGCTCTTTCACGCCGGATACAGGCGTCACTGGCTCAAATCCGGACTCGGGCTCACCACCAACATCCGCATTCGTATCCTCCACATCCTTGTCTTTCTCCGTGACCCCCCGACACTAGCACGAGGTTGCACATGGACCTCATCCTACTCCTCGTCTCCGTAGGCTTCGCTGGCGTCGACAAAGGACCACCGGATTCGTTTACTTCTTCGACGTCTTCCCATCTATCGGCCTCGCTTTCTCTACCCATGGCTCCCCCACGAGCACGTTTGCCTTGGAGCTTGCGAACGTAGAGGAAATCGAATTTCGCTTCGTGCCTTACCTTATTCATGCCTGGCGGGAATCTATCACCCCTAATCTCCTCTCCAAACACAGTCCCCCGTTCCCCGTCCTTCTCCTAATTCGGTAAGAAAGCCTTCTAGATCTGGCGGTAAGTATCACTTACATTGCAATGCTGAGAGCACCCTGCAGTTACCTGAGTTTGTATCAAATATCAATAGTAATTTTTTGTAATGACACTGGGGTGTTCTGGTTCTCCACTCGACCTGTCAGCGGACGATGGAGTTTGTGTGTGGTAAGTAGTCTGAATGTCGTCAAGTACATAGTTGGTCCGGTGCAGACGGAGCTAGCGCCAACGTGCATACCATTGGTGTTTCCGAAGGCAGAGATGATGAGAAGGTGCTGCGGCCTTTGATGCTGGGTGTTACTGCCAGAGGATCCTGTACCATTGTGACTGACCGATGACCATGGCAGGTGATTGAAATGCAAGGTACGTTGCGGCATCAATTTGGATCTGCTGAGCATGGACCTAGTTGTGGCCTCCAGTTTGAATCTCTGTCATCGTGCACTGACTGAAGGTTTTCCTTGCTCCACTACGCACCCAGAAAATCCTATAAATCATGTCTCCAAGATCAAGCAATGGCAAGCCAGCAGCGACTGCGTTGTTCATCCTGGGGATGCTTGCGCACGTTTCAGCCCCATTTTTCTCGATTTTGCCCCTCATACATCTACCGGGACCCATTGCAGCCAACGTCGGTGATCTGGGCTAGCGTCCGTGTTGGTCATCTTGTCGCCACTTCCTTCCGATCTTCCTCTACCACAAATCCACATACGAGTTCTATCCTAGTAAGCATTTATGTTCAAACGATGTTCTCTGGCCTGCAAGCTGACGAATCTTGACATCATCCCACCAGATACATTCGCCACTCTTTGTCTTCTTTCCCCGTTTCTTCGAATACATCTGTTTAACCTCGCTCGTGGCACGTTCAACAAGGTCTATGACCTCTTTTTTTTTCCCCTATCAAAAATGCAGAGTCGACAAGGTCTTCATAGTATACTCCATCAAATGCTTCCTTGGCGTTCAGAGTGTGCATGCGATCGTCCACGGGGTTGGAAGCTATGCAACTCACATCGATCCTATCTTGTTCATGCGATCGTCCACAGGGTCGGAAGGCACGCAACTCATATCGATCCCATCTTGTTCATGCGATCGTCCACGGGGTCGGAAGCTACGCAACTCACATCGATCCTATCTTGTTAAAACCATGTCAGTGTTGCAACGTTTTGAGTGATGCTGAGTGGGATAGGAATAAAATCAATTGACCGCGTCAGTGCCCTGGATGAGGTTCAATCGGTCACGTTTGCATGACCTTTGCATCAGCTCCTACCACTAACATGCATTCTAAAGTAGTGTTCCGCGCAAGGGCACTTGACAGTATAAGGTTTCCAAAGTCAGAGGGTCGTCATCTTGCCAACACGTGTACTAAACACGTTCAAAACACGTTTAGATGATAAGGTAGCTGATTTGAGTCCCTTCATGCGCCCCTCAATAACGCCCCACTGTCAGACAAGACAACCATGGCCACCAACAATGAGGCGTCTAGACATTCGGATTTCTACATATCAACGGTCATCTTCCTGGTGAGTGTTGCGAAAGTTTAAAGCCAATCTTTTTCCGAGGACCCATCGTATTTACGCATCTCGTGTCTAGGTGGAAGACTCCTTGTTTAGAGTTCCCAGAGAACCATTTCAACAAGAGTCAGATCTATTTTGCGATATGTTTTCCTTGCCACAGGGTGACGGAATTGTCATGGAGGGATCAAGCGACGAAATTCCCATTCAACTCCATGGAACTAGCAAGGACGATTTCGAGCAATTGCTGAAGGCTCTTCTTCACAGGTTAGAATCCGATTTGTTTTCATTAGAGCATAGAGGCAGTGAATCATACCCTTTTCCCAGAAAGTATGGTTCACAGCCTGATTTGCCACAAAATATCGAGCAGTGGACATCTGTCCTCAAGCTGTCTACGGCTTGGAGTTTTGAGAAGTTACGCCAAGCGTCCATCGACGCACTGATAGAAAGTGGGATTGGCGCGGTGGATAGAGTTGTTCTTTCCCAGCAATACGACATCAAGGGCTGGCTATTGCCCGCTTTAAACGAGTTGGCCAAGCGACCAGAACCAATAACTTTAGAGGAAGCAAATCAGATGGGCATTGACATTGCGCTCAAACTGGCTTCCGTACGAGAAAGAGTTACCGTGGAAACCAACTGCAGCAACTCCCAAACCAACTGCAGCACTTCCCGGGTCCACATAGCTAGTGCTAGGTCCTACCTCGTCCCTGAACGCAACGACAACAACGGCGTTGCTGTCGGTAGTTGTAGAGACCCCAGAATGCAGAACTGCGACTTTTCTGATCAGATTCGCTCCACGTTCTCCACATTCGATTTGTAGACCAAATTTACAATGCTTACGTGGCATGTAGACGAGTCGCTCGTCCTAGACAGATTGCAGCAGATTTGAAAGAAAGTAGCGTTGCCTATTCTACGTAGCTGTCATTCCACAAGCACGTCGACAGGCTTCTCGAAAGATGGCCACCCAGCTACGTCGCTTCCCAAGGCGAAGGATGGGACTAGTCCTGACTTACACACGCCATCCTTACTGAGCCATCTTTATCGACAAAGCTCGACGTATGCTCTCGTTGCAACCCACTGCAAGATCATCCGGTGAGGTGGTAGAAAAAGACCTCTCGGATGGACACAGCGGCTGCGCATTGTCTAGAAGGCGACTACATCGAGAAAGAGCACCTGGAGAGCAATATGAAGTGTTCACCTAACCTCGAAATCGTTTCTCTTTGTGATATTGTGCAAGTATTGTGTCGGCCAAGGAAGAATTCACACTACCTCGTCTCCTCGGGATTCTTCATTGGCTGCCGATGCCACCCCAGTCTGTTCGTGACGCGCGATCTATGAACATGAACATCTATCACTATCCCAATATTTATTGGGAGCGTCAATAGATAGATGAAAAGCGGTGTTCGCAGCACCTTCAAACAATTTTCATGCTGCTCGGAGCGAAAAACACCATATTTGGCCCGAGACCCATTGTGCAACCGTTTGGCAGTTTGAGTGACATGACTGTCTCGTCTTTAGCGCATCCTAAGAAGAAGGGTGAGCGTTCTGGGACACTCGCACACATTTGTCTCCAGAATCCATCCATGCGGATATGGCCTTAAGGTTTTATGCTCTGCCGACCTCTATAAAGAGTGACCGGTGACCCACTTACTTCGGTAGGCAGTCTTGGTTAGGCTACTCCCGCATCCGTGACCTCGTCTTTTGACACCATTTGAACCAGAGAAACAGGAGTAGTAAATCGCTTCCTTGACTGTTCGTACTTAGATCGCACCTTTAAATCCTTCCTTGTTGCCATTGAGTTCCGATTCTTCCTATTTCACGTGGACACAGATAATGTTGTGCGTGAAATTCAGTATGAGAGGCGCTGCAACGTCAGACACTATGGCCAGTAGCCTGAGGCAGATCCAGAAATGAACATACATAGAGCTAGTTCAATACGGTAGGGCTTCCCGGGACAAAACTTGTCACCGAGCCCGTCACGACGACGGGATGTGGATGGGAGGCGAAGAGAAACAAAAGTGCAATATTGTGAACCTTCAACCTACGTAGTTATCTGTGCACGTATTCCTCATGTACATAGACCACAAAATCCGAATGTCGAAGACCTCGCCTCCGTCGCATAACGAGTGGTCCCATCGTCAAGTTCCTTCAGAACCTCAACTTTGCGGTCGGCCGTTGCATGTTCTTGTCCCAGTGAAGAACAGGTTTGGCATCACATCTTTCTAAGAGGTGAATGGAAATTTCAAGGCTGGGCCAACAACTGGGGCTCATCGCACGTACCGTCTATGTGTCTGAGACTCATTCAAGACGGAGGAGCATCTGATATGGACACATCCATGCCAACCATGAGGTTCGGCGGCAGTCTCATTCAAATTCCCGCAGCGTCGCAGCGGTGAATACGCCCAGCGGACGAACACTGGACGAACTGCGGTTACCTCGTAGCCTTACAAGGCACCTTTGCTGATGTCAGCCATCTGGAAGACTGGATACCGTCGAACTGTCAGAACCACCTTCGTAGCTAGGTGAACCAAAATGTCAGAGATAGGGAAATAGATAGAGACTAGAGACGTAGAGAACGATATGCAACTTAGATCACAAGGTAAGTGCGATCTAGCGTGTGCGGGGGGGAGGCCGCGTGACGCCTGGAAGATGGTCATGTGACTACGAAAAAGGGAGGCATGTGACAGGATGGAGATAGGGATCGAGAAGACACCACAAGTGTTGGAAATATTACTATATGTTCCGACGTCTAGATTGATCCAGACTTACACGTGTATCAACACGTTGTTCATCACATGACATTCCTTAGCAATCAGCTCCACAATGACGTCACTGATACGTCATATCATACGTCATATTCCATGACCTTCTACGCAGTTCTTTACTATACTGAGTAGTAGTTTCCTTTTACACTCTTGGTCCGTGCGTACCTACTCATGTATATAAACTTGGGGATTTCTTCCCCAATCATCATTGGAATTCACTTCCTTTCTTTCACTTGTCTACTCGACAACTGAGCCCCGCTTACAAGCTTACCAAACTTCCTCAAATGCTACTACTGTTCTGATAAACAAAGGCAAGTGTTCTGCCTAGCTCTTCGTCCTGTTCCCGTTCCTCTGCGCAATAGGTTATGAGCCCCGCCTATTACTAGGTGGTAAGCTATTTGCGGTATTTGCATAGAACGATCACTGCCGACGGGCATATCACTATGGATATCGTAGGCCTAGATGCGCTAGGGACAGTAGTAGTAGTCTTCGCCATCGCTGTAGTTGCCGGCCTTAACCAGGCCGTTCTTTTACTTCATTATGGTGGACATGACCCGGTAGTGCTTCGAGAGCTCGCTGCGCGCTTGATAGCTTTTTGGTTCTCATTTCTAGGTCTCTCTGCTTGGTGGTGAAGGCGACAACTTTTGCTTCAAGAGCAGGTTGTTCGCAGAGCGCTGCTTCAGCGTCTTGTTCTTCATCCTCCGACTCCGCCTCCTCATTACCTCCATTTCCATCTTCCCGACATCGACCACGACGCAGATCTTGATCCTGTTCCGCCGTACGACGAGGTCGAAGCATGTGACCCGCCTTCTCCTCGACATGCACCGACTCCTCTTCCTGAGGAAGTTGCAGCTGTCAACGAGCTTGTTAATCCTGCAGTCGTTCTCGCTGTCGATGACATCGCTGAGTTCGATTTGCTTTAACCTCGTTTGCTTTGTCGCAGAACAGATGCTAATTTATGGTTTTAAAAAGATGTCTCTCGTTGTTGCCAAGAAAACCGAACTGTCGATTGCTGAGCACAGAGATGGAATGTACAATGTAAAGTGGTGGAAGTATGTGGTGAAGGAGATTATAGAATTTATCGAGATGTTGTATGTACGAGATTGCGCCAGCTGGAGAGAGGCTGTTCCGTCGAGCGTGGCTTTCTTCAAGAAGCCAAATCCTGCGACCTATCTCGTTCCCATTGACACCGTGGAAACAGCATGGCAGAACATGCCCCACTTTCCCGGGTTCGAATTGCCCTATTTCTATCCAGGGATCCACCTTGCCTATCACAGCTACGTTACCGACTTCTTCCCAAAGCTTTCCCATACCTCGTCTCCACATGCAATAGCTAATTTCAATGGTTGCGATCTTCCCAGCGTCTACTATGAAGATCCTGCCCTCGACTCTATTCCTGCGTTCACTATCACCCACGACACCTTCGTCTACATCTGTTACAACGTCCACCCCCTCTACGATCCATGCTTCAACGGCCTCATCCCTCCTCTCCGCCTTTGGCACCAGCATCTTGAATACCATTTCAGAGGAGTTTGGGCTGACGGATCAATGGACGTCTGATGTGTCCCAAGGTGGTACCATGAACGACGACGCGGAGGAGACAGCTTTGATAGCCGTCTCTTTAGGTTTATACGATGGTATAGGGATGAAGCAGATGTGGGAACTTCCCTGCAATATAACTCTTCTAACCGGCATCTTCAGTGGGGTGTCTCACCCGCTGACACAGACTTCGCTTACTGGCCCGGAACAGAAGAGATTTTACGCGATATCGAACGTGTCATGGACGACACTACTTTTGACTATCTCGCAGCTCCCCGACCTCGCGGAATTCGCACCATGGCTCTTAGCCGAGCTCGTGAAGCTCGCGCCATTCGTCAAAAGTTATCCTCTTCCAAACTCGCTGGACGCACCGTACACATCAGGTGGCCGAAACCATTTGGCAACTAATACTTGTACCTTGTACGAATCTTACAATTGTTTTGAGCTTTTAGTTAAAGACAAACATTTTCGATATTCTCATGCCTTAAATATACTGTACTCTTGCGCCGATCCCTACTTGGGATTTCGTTTGGATGGGATTCCATTGCATGATTGCAATTGGAGCTTTCTGAGCTGTCATTATTTCCCTCTGCTAGACTTTTTAAGTCTAGAGCGCAATAATTCTTGCATCTCTTCTTGGAGATTCGCTGAGAAAGGCACAGTGGCACCAGAGACGAAGTTACAAAAGAGGAGAAATCCTTGTCCTTACTTCAAAGCTCAAGGTACTCAGTATCCGCTGAAAATCTCAACAAGCTAGAGCTTCTGCTCGCCGAACCAAACTCCGGGATCATGAATTGAATCCTCCATCCCTTCTTATCCATCCGACTCACTTGTTCTTATATGAACATCTGCTTATGGACTTTTGACACTAGATGTCCGAAGGTCTCTCTAAGCAGATCCCCAAGCTCAATGGCTTGAACTGGGCCTCTTGGTCGGTTCTTATGAAGGCATATATGCAGACCCTTGGTATCATGGGAATTGTTGACGGCACAACTGCTTTACCGGCTGCACCCCAAGCTGCCATTGATGCATGGCATGTGTCAGACACTCGCGCACAAGGCATTCTTACGCTATACTGCGATCCTATGATCGCAATGTCAATCGATGGACACGCGACTTCTCACCTTAAATGGGAAGCTCTTAAAAACGCATATGGAGCACCTTCAGCCATGACTACTTTCATGGAATTTCAGCAGCTTATCCGCATTCAAATCAAACCGAAGGATGACATAATGCAGAAAATTGCCGAAATCACTATGCTCATATTGGCAATCAGCGCTCAGGGCATTGCCCTTAACGATAAAATGAAAGTGCTAATTTTGGTCCATTCGATGACTCATGCTTGGGAACAAGCACTGGTCAATATTCTATCTTCTATTGCTGCCGATCAACTCTCTCCTGATACCGTCATACCTCGCATGAAAGAAGTCTGGGCCCACAAATCGGGCAAAACTATGCTTCCTCAACAGGAAAAGGCTGGGTCGTCATCGACCACAGTCAAACAAGAATCAAACTCTCTTCTGGCACGCATGAATAAGCCGCCACTCTGTCAAGTTTGCAGAGGCGCACATAATACTTCCGATCATCAATCAGGATCTGGATCAGGTTCCTTTCGCGGTTACCGTGGAGGTCGCGGAAGAGGTCACGGAACTCGTGGACATGGACGTGGAGGTTACACTCC